CGGGGACTCCTCAATTAACAAGTCTGCAAGAAATTGAAAACTTAAAACTGCCTTGAAAAGTAAAGCAAAAAAGGAATTAAAATATAAACATACAGAAATGAAACTAGAATAAACATTTTAATTCTAATTTAATGAAATTATCGTTAAAGACCATACTAGATAATTACAAATGTTTTGTATTATTGCTAATTTTATAAAACAAATCACTTAGTAGTTAAGGAATTTAAATTTAAAAATTATAGATGTAACTCATTTTAAATTTGATTGACTTTGCTATATAAAAAATATATATAAATATACACTTTGAGAGGTACCAAAGCTAACTATCAAAAACCTTATTTTAAACACAACAAAATACTAAGGAAAATACTTATAGGTGTCGCTTTCTTTTTTGAAGCCAATGTTTATCATAACTATGCTATATTTAGCGTCATAATGAAAAAGAAAATTTAGAGGATTTTCAGGGGTTTGAACTTGACAGAGCATATATGGCGATGGCAAATGATGGGCGCTTTTGAGTTATCACTAAAAGTTGAAATACACAGTGTCTTTTTTTGAAATCCGTAAACCAGAAAGTTATACAAACAAAAGATTAAGGCAACAGAAAACTGTTAACAAATATGATTAAATTACCCCTACTATTGTTTAAAAAAATATAAATATTTTGTATTCGATGTCGTTCCATCAAGTAAACAAATAATCTGTAATTCTAGTCTCGTTTATTTTGTTGCTTTTTTCTTCATTGTTATAAATATAAGAATTCATCGATGAGCAATAAAAACAAAAACGAATAGTTATGTTCAACGTGCATTTTGCATAATAAGCTCTGCAAGAACGCTTAGTTTGATTGCCAATCATCTAATTATAGTATTTTATGATTTCATAAATACTTTTTTCACATAAAATTGAGTTGTATGCGTGGACATGAAATTTTATTGCAAAAGGGAATGACTTCCTGAAATAAATCGAATACGTGTGTCAAAACGTTTCAAAATTAAATACTTTTCAAGAAACCTTTCGATTTTTGATGATGTCTTATATTTAGTCTTCGACTCTGATGCAGATAGATAGTTTATGTATCCAGAAAAACTAATAAAAACTATGACGTACCATATAATAAAATTATTTTAGCTTTTCAGTTTTTAATGTTCAATTAATTAACCATACATAATATTAAATCCTTACCTGCTTCTTTGGGTTTTGGTAATGACTGTAGCTCCACGTCCTTGTTGGGGTAAAACGTCGCCCGGAAACAGTTGAATACGGGACACCTAACCCTACCCATTATAAGTTTTAATGAAACTAAACTGTTTTATTTTGTACGTATTTACGTAAACATCCGCACTATCCAAAGCTGCTACTTGTGAAGTCTCTTTCGCGGCTGCGATGTGTTAAACTGAATGGAGCGGCGTGTACCAAGCAACTTATAAATATAGAGAGAATCGACAAATATTATAAGAGATTCGAACACTACATCACTATATCGTATTCATCAATGATTCATTTTACTTTCTAATGCTAGCTAGACGTAGCGCTGGATGCTGCAGACAATTAGTAGCATCTTGCTCAGTACAGGTTGTAGCAGAAATAAGTGCGTAGCTTGCAGGAGGCGTTAGGGCACTACAAAACAAGAAAAATAAGTAAATATTCGTGTGTCTGAATGTTCACCGTTTTAAAGAAAAGCTTAGTTAAAAGTACAGGTAAATTCAATTCCAGCCGCAACGCCGCACTCAATCAGCTGGTAATTACCGGTATCAGTGTGGTATTTGGTAAATGTCTAGATGATGGCCCCTACCCCCGAAAGGGGTCAAACTTAATAAATATGCCAATTTTTATACATTTCTAGGCATGTAAATATTTATATAGTCATTCTTAAACAATATTCAAAGGTAAAACTAATAGAAAAATACATAAAAAAATTGAGAAAGTTATATAAAGCATTATTTAAACAGCTTTATCAAGAGGGTAGGTTAGGTTAGGTTATCGGGTTTTATTCAAGTGATCACCCTCTTTCGATCCCCCTACCCTTCGGGGGTGGGGGCCATCATCTAATCCCCATTATTTTTTATGGGGGTGAGACCGCCACGAACTTTTTATGGTACAGTGGTGGGGGAGACCTCCTCTTCCGATGCCCCACCCGCACCCCCTCCCCCCCTTCGGGGGTGAGGACCATCATCTACACCTTTNTTCTTGTAATTAATATTAATAAATTTTTAAAAAGTCGATTTTGTCCGTCGAAAAGTTAATTCGTGTACTTCTTTTAGATTCTTGAAATTAGTAGCTGACTGATGTGGGCAATCCTTGTTATTACGGAAATAGTTAAGTTTAACGCCTTTTGAACAAGATGACCTCATTTTATTAACGAAAGGTTTTTAGGACAATTAGTGATTATTTCCCAGACGTCGGTGTTGATTAACATTTTTTATACACGGTCATAGCATAGAACATCACAATTGTTTCATAGAACTAGAGTAGGTAGGTACCAATAAAAATAAAATCTTGGTAAAGAAATTGTCTAACATAAATCTGCATCTATGAGCGGATCATAATTGTGGCATGCACTTGGTATCGTTTTTATGATTATTTCTTATTGATTAAATCTTAAGAGTAATTCCATTTAAATTTAAAGAAAATATTCTTTCTCCAAAGGTGGAAATTAGAGGATGATGAAAAAGTAGAAATTAACGCAACTTCGTTATTTCGGAGTCAGATCTTTTTATTTTAAGTTTTCAAATTTTTATAACAACTAACCAAAGTTGCGTTGTGATGAAGCTTGAGCAATTGTGACGATGACAGAAAAAAAGGACCGGATGGATAGGGACGACTTTGTAAAATACTAAACAAAAGGGTGAAAAATGGAAAATTTAAAAAACAGAATACACTGTTTTCACCTTTATATATACATTCAATTATTTCGACTACCTATACTTTTTCAATGAATTATAACTAAAATTATAAATGCGAATGTGACTTTGTTTATTTATTACGATTTCACGACTTAACTAATGAACCGACCATCCTGAAATTTTGTATAAACATTGTCAGAAATACAGAAAAGGACATAAGGTGCCTTTTATCCAAAAAAAAATACCGTTCTCGAAGAATAGAAAAATTAGTTTATGTGGTCGTCGATGATTTTTTGTACGTATTTAGGACATCGAAACCGTGGGTTAAACCTATCATGAAGTTTTATACACACATTTATCCAGAAAGACTGTTCTCGAGGGATAAAAAAAAAATAATTTATATAGATATATGGTATTCGATGATCTTTGACCCGTATTCAGGACATCAACGCAAACGAAACTGCAGGTTAAACCTATCATGTAGTTTTATACACACATAGTCAGGGGAACAGAAAAGGACATGGGGTATCCTTTATCCAGGAAAAAAAACTGTTTCCGAGGGAAAATTAGTTTATGTGGTCGTCGATGACGTTTGAACCGTATTTAGGACACAAAGCGAGCGACATCGCAGGTAAAACCCATCATGAAGTTTTATACACACATTGCCAGGGGTACAGAGAGTCATAGATAGTGTTTCATGAACTCCTTGTTCTTATCTTATATTTTATGTATGTATTTAAGTAAAATAGAAATTAATGTTTTAATCATATTTAGAAATTTTATTATAAAAGTCACGCAATTTTAATTATGACTGCAAGTATTTAGCAAAAATAAAAATTTAGCTTGAATTCCTAGGTCATGAACCAACAAAAAACAGATGTCTATGGTAGAGGGTTGCAAAATAGGATGTATGTTAATACTACCCCACATGC